AAGAAGGTCAGCCAAAATTTTTTTTGATAAGTATTCCTAAAAACAAACACTTAAAAACAATGATACTGATAGAGAATAATTAAATACCCTTGGCCTTTTTCTCTTCCCACTTAGTCGTATTTTGTAATATGATACTTTTTCCTTTTTCAATGCTAAATAAATTACAAAATCATGATGTAAGTAAAGTTTATGTTTATATGATCATAAATTATTTGCATGTGAATGGACCCTAAAGGTATTTGCGTATTATCTCCAATATGAGTACTAAATTCAAAGGTGCTAAGTTACTGCCCATGGTCTGACTAGATGAAGTCCTTTCTGGGTCTGAAAAGCAGGTCTCATTTACTGTTCAGTAATTTATCCAAAGCAGTATATTGCCACCATCAAGTCCCCACATATTTAGCTCATATAAATTAAGCATTCCAGAAATGACAATGCTTGACAACCAAATGCATAAAATAGTAAACAATCAACAATCAAAATAAGGAAACAGCTGTTAGTTTCTTTTTATATAAAATTATATCTAATTTACAATAAATGCCAATTAAAATTATTAACCAATATACATAAATCTCTTCTGCCTTATTGTCAAATAGCTACACAGAATATAAAATTCTCTTAAACTTTCAAAGGGATTCCTAAAGGCTTTTTTTTGTGGGGGGAGTTTCTCAATCATGAGTCAGTTACTCCTTGAGCATACTGGTAATGTCTACTCAATAAAAGTCAAACCATGTTATTAAAGTGAAAATAAAGGGCACTAACGTGATAGTGAATAATCCCACACAAGGCATTTCTGTGCTAATGGTTATTTCCATTAAACTTAATGATTAAAAAAACCTTAACTGAACTTGATCTTACAGTCATCAATAACCACTAAGATTAGCACGTTAAAAGCTTTAATGTACAGAGATGTGACAAAATGTAATTTTAAAAGCAGTGACTTTTCATTTTGGTTGTTGAGAGAAAAGGATTAAGTAGTAGATGAATAACTGTCAAGTGAAAGCCCTAGAAATGTCACTATTACTAATGTATTATAATGACTTGCTGTATATTTTCCTTACACCAACAGTACAACCCCATCTTGTTACTTCTTTATTACCACTTGCCTTTGTCTTTGAAGTTATTTCACTTTAAGCAATGATTAAGAGGTTCATTATTTTCAAAGGTGATTTGTGCTGATCTGAGATACCAACCCTCATTTCATTTACTTCCATAAGTCTGTGCTTTAGGTTTTGCATGTTAGAAGAGTTAGAGTATGTTAGAGAAGTCAGGAAAACTTTGCTTTATCAGCCCACAGTGCTCAGTCATTTAATTGGATGGTTAATTAGATATTCATTGTATGCAATACAGAAGAATCCAATTTGTGTGAATTATAGGTCAAAGGTATATATTTTCCTATTTAAAATTACATCAATTTCCTTGAAATATTCTCTCCATTTTTTCACATCAACAATATTAAAATTTTATGTCTAGAAGATCAACTTTTCCTTTATTCAGGTAACATATATTGAGTATCTGTCAAGCCCTAACTATTGTGATTTGGGTTGAGAATACAAACCGAGTAAGACTTGTTTGTGCTCAGAGAGACATGTGCCCAGACACTGCAATGACAAGACAATGAGATAGGAAACTTAGGCACAGGCTGCCATGAGAGGAGCCTGGAAGAGTCAGGAAAGGTTTTCCCGAATGGCTGCACTGAATTCTGACAGATGACAAGGAGTGCTCAGTAGCAGGGAGAGGGAAAGAAGCCCTAGGAATGCTTATACAAAGGCAAGTGGCAGCACAGTGTAGCGTTTAAAATTAAAAGCACAGACTCTGAAGCCAGACTGCCTGGGTTTCACCTTGGGTAATTACTTACACCTCAGTCTCGCCTTCTGTGGAAAGGGCATAATATGAGTATCTACTTTAAAGACTATTATGAGAATAAATGAGTTACTTTTTGTAAAGCAGAAAGAGCAATATGTGTGTTTGCTGTTATTAGAGTTGGAGTTCTGGGTTCTTGATGGCAGTGGTAGAAGGTAAGAAGGTAAGACTAGAGAGTAGGGATGGATCAGAGAGAGGAGGTACATGGTTAATTTGAAAAGAGTTGGGAAGCCACTGCTGGATTTCAGACATGTGAATTATGATCTGTAATTAGTTTACTGCTTTGGGAAAGAGCAGTCATGGGAAAACTATAGGAGATAAAATGCAAAGCAAGGAGATGAATTAGGAGGCTCTGGAAATAGTCCTGGAGCCCTGGTGGCACAGTGGTTAAAAGCTTGGTTGCTAACCAAAAGGTCGGCAGTTCGAATCCACCAGCCACTCCTTGGAAACACTATAGGGCAGTTCTACTCTGTCCTCTAGGGTCACTATGACTATGAGTCGGAGTTGAATCAATGGCAATGGGTTTGGTTTTTTGTCCGTCTGGGAATAGCCTAAATCAAAGCAGTCAGATAGGAATGGAGAAAAAGGTTTAGTAAATACCTTGAAGGCAGAGTTGATAAGATTTGGTGACTCACTAGGTGATGGGATAAGTGAGAGAGAGGGATGGCTAAGGGACTGGATGGAAAAGATGCTACACTTTATGACAGAACTGAGCTGAAAAAGAGGATGCTTACCTTTTTGGTCTTTCGGTATTTATAGGCATAGAATTTAAGTTTACTTTCTTCCCTCACCTTCCTTCCTTTCCCATTTTACAGGATGAGATGACTTGAAATGTAGAATTAATGTTTCAAAAAATTTACCAAGGCTGAAGACTATTTAACTTGATTGCCAAGTCCCGCTATTTGGCCTTGTCGTTCCTAACTTTATCTGAGACCTTGGATTTCAATGACAATATTCAAAATTTGGACGGTCTCTTTTGGCTATTTTGCTTTAGTTTTCAGAAAATGTAGAGACATTCTGGCTGGCCTCATTTCCCCCTGGTATTATGTGATTCTCTGACATCAGCAGAGATATATTCAACTTCGACATATGATACTGGTTGGCATGAGAAAGAAGGGGAAGACGGCTGAGCTTGTGAGCAGGACGTAACAGCTAAGCTCAGGACTAAGTGGCATCAGCAACAGGTGTTCCTTGGAACCAAAGTTAGAAATGGCTTCTTCTTCTATTTTTAAAACGTGGGTAACTATTTCACAACTACACAGAAACTGAAAATTATACACTTATTGCTATAAGATATAATCATCAAGATATGGTATTTGTTATCTTCAGGGTGGAGCAAATGAGCCTCTATTTTTTTCCTTCTCTGTTTTTGAAGTAGAAGATGCTCATTCGAATGGCTGTGGTCCTGAGGTAGGAGGATGGATTAGCCAAACTCTTAAAATATTTTTAGTTCTATGATGCTATATCCTATATGTGGCTAACTTTTATGCTTACAAGACTGAGTGTCTTCTCTGTCCCTGGAGGGCCATTAAACTTAGGGCCTGTCAGGGGATTGACAATGACAGCATAATTGAACAACCAAACGTTTTTTATTTTCAATATAGGATTCTAAAGCATTACGGCTCTTAAGGAGTAACAAGACGCCACTTCCATCAAAGTTGAGTTATCCATTTTTCCCCCACGTTTTTTTACTACTTCTAGTAACTTTTTTTTACTACTTCTAATAACTTTCATCACCACTATTGTCTGTTCCCACAATAGCAAACAAACTGGTGCAGTGAGATACTGCATAAAGTATCATAAAACTGAAATCATTTTTCTTATATTATGTTTTGTTCTCTGTGAAAACCCAATTCTTAGTCCTCACCATTCTCTCTAACCATAGTGTTTGGCAGGGACTTGAACCTAAGAAACATTGTTCTGGCTTTGATCTGGTTTGATCAGTAATTTTGAGGTGACTAACCGCAAAGTATTTTTTGAGGGGAAAAAAAATGAGCGTTTGATTTTAGACTCCAGCAAAATAGTGTACTGAGTTCACTTATTAATTTGACCCTACCTAATTTTCAAAAGACAGATAATACAGGTTAGTGCCATTCGTTCTGTTAATTCACTGTGTCATTCTAATACTTTTCCTTTGTTATTCACTGAATTAGTGAGGAGCCAACATCAGAAGTGAGAAATATTATCCCCAAATGGATATATTTACGAAAATGTTTCTGTATGCCAATTGTCTTCACCTTCTTTCTTATAATCTGCAAGCCATTATATTTGACCCTGGCAAAATATTTTAATTAGGCTGTCCATGGATATTTTAATAAACTTGAATTTTTTTTTGACATCTCAAACATAACCTTCTGTCATTCTTGCCTGCTCCTACTATTTTAAATGTACAGCATGTTCCAGCTGCAAAATAACCATGGTTACCTCTTACGCCAACAGTAAACTCCAGTTGGCATTGAAAAGTACTGGGCTGTCTTGCCTCTGCATTGAAAATGACATCAATATCTCAATAATCGCAATACGATGAATTGATATGAAACCCTGAGGAAGTGTGACTATGAGACAACAGGCCATAATGTAAGACATTCTTAAGAAGTGAAATATATTTAAGGGGCTTTAATGTGGGTACATTACATTTATATTCTCTAAGAGCTCATCTTAATACCGAATGTGGTTGTATTTTATTAGCAGTATTGTTGAATGGTTGTTAAGTATTTTACTCCCTCCTTCATGTACTCTCTTTTAGAAATATGCACAAGTTTAGTACTTCTTTGGATGGAAAGTGATTCACATTTAATGAGAAATGATGAACACAGAACACAAATGGTATGGCTGGCTAAAGGTATTCTTGTGGCCAGAAAAGGTATCCAGGATTAAGTGAATTTGATCAGAACCCTCAATTCTCTGATTATGTTAACTTGTTGAAGTTTTATTAAGGAACGTTCTAGTCAATAAATAGTCTTCTTCTAAGTTCTAGTTAGTCATTCTTGCTTCAGAAAAGTGCTTTAGAAATTCTTGGGGCCATTTCTCCATGCCTCTCACAGGCCTCTCAACTTTATTCGAAAGACTTCCTTCCTGCCAATCACCTAGTAGAAGAGCCTGAACTACGACACTGCAGCACTGAGGTCTCTGCTTACCTGCACTGGTGCCTGCACCGGATGCGAGGTCTCCACCCATCAGACCACCTAGGGATTGAAGAGAAAGATCAAAAGGAGAAAGGCTAAAGACTCCCTGAACAGAACTTTGCCTTTGGCAACCTCAGTATTTTGTCCTTTCCGAAGTGTCACAAAATTGTAAAGTATTGCCTAAGTCAGATGGAATAGGTGACATTTGTTTTATTGTGGCATGCTGTGCTCAAACATTAAAAATACATTCAATCACTGACATCTACCAGAATCTTTTTCTTTTTTTTAAGAAAGATTACATCTAAAAAATACAGTCTTTGAATGGTCTCTGCATTTTTGTTATTTCGAAGTTTAGTTTTTCCTAAGAAGATATTTTATAGACAGTTGGAAAAAAAGTCTACCATATGCTTAGATAACCATACAACTGGTGTTTAGTTCTTTGTAGATATGTTTTACACATTTAAGTCTGTGTAATGCTAATTATCCAGGGGTTTGGTCATTTCATGAATTTATCAACAATGAATTCAGGTACTATTTACTACCTGAATTTTACTGACTGACAAGATGAAACAAGTTTTCACTGGCCACAAATCTAGAAACATATGCTTACTCACTGCTAACTTAAGAAAGTGCGTTAAAATTTGGCACTGTTTATTTATGAGAGTTGGAATGTTTCAATAAGATATTGAATATAATAATTATTTTTAGTTTTTAAGGAATAAGATTTAGCAGAAATAATAATAGTGAGAATATCATCTAGATTAATTTCTAATTGCTTTTAAGTGATACTCTGTAATTATTTGTTGGTTTTTGAAATGTTCACTACATTTTAAGAAAATGTTTATTATTTCCAATCAAAGAACATTTTGAAAATAAAGCATCAGGTTTAAAAAATTAAATGAGCATGAATTCATCAAATGTGAAATTCAACAGAGTTTGAGTATTATCTGAAAGGAATACATACGGATATTGAAAATTACGAAAAATATCAAACATATTCAAAACTGGAGAGTGAATGGCACAACAAACTCCTTTATGTGCACTGACCAGATTCAAGATTTGTCAAAATTTCTTTATTTGACTGATTTGGACCGTATTTTCTACATAAAGGCAGCTATTTAAGCATTCTAAAGGAAAAATTCATCTGTGAATAAATGCTCTTAATACAGTTAAATGCCTAAGAAATATCAGAAACTTCCTGTGGAGTGATTTCTTAACATACAAGGTAAATACGTAATGGTTTGCTATGTATGATTTGAAATATAATTATTTTTTGATGCTTCTTTTGGATATATGAAAGAATGATTTAGTGATAGTCAATCAACATTTACTTAGTTCCTATGGTGAGCCTGGCAAATCAATGGGACATTCTTCTTCTCTTCAAGGATCTTTAAATCCAGTGGGGAAATAGACACATTCTATAAAGTAGACTATGGTATGTTTTTACTTGATCTGAGTACTAAGAATAATCAAATTCCTCTTGAATAATGATTTATTTTCTCTGTGACACTGTTGAATTATATAACAGTGAGGATCTCCTAGAAGTGTAGAGCCAAATTTGTGGCAGGTATACATGTGTTTATCATGTGCTCTTAACTTCACTTGTGACTCCATTTTTTTTAACTTCACACTTCTACATTATTCTAGTTGTGTGCCTTTGTACCTTAAATCCTTTCTGGGATAAGTTAATGCGTAAATAAATTAAAAACTGACCAAAATAATAAATAACTAAGTGGGATAAATGCTATCAATGGTAAGAACCAAGAACACAGAGGGAGGTTCCTTTCCCAGGAGAGGTGATATGGTATTCCAGGCAGGGGAGGAGCATAAACAAAAGTGTGCAGACAGCATATTTGGCTTCCAGCTTAAGAAAGCATGTGGTTAAAACGTAATCACATGAGGGATTGGTGAAAGATAAATTGAAAAGGTAAACTGCAGATTATGAAAGATTTAGAAAAATATGCTAAAGGTATTAGGCTTTATCATGCAAAAGACCTAGCAGTGGGTAGATATAAGCAATGGAGAAACATAAATGGAAAACCGGAAAAGTTGACATTTTGTTGATAAAATAGTCTTGGCTCCTTCTAATGATTTAACATGAGGTCCTTAGGAGGACATACCTGTGTTACCTGCACTAGGAGGTCGATGTGTTACACCAGGAGACATACTATTCCTCTGCAGAGAAGGGTGGGCCAGTGGCAAAAGGTTGGGGTTTCCCAGTGAGCTGACGGGGTTGCTGTATACCAAACTATTGTGGCTGGACACTGGGATGGAGACTGGCATCTCAAAGTTGGGAGGTGGAACAGCCTGTGGAGCAGGAAGAAACACGGGTAAAACAAAAGAATAGTAACAGAAACCCTTACTGGAAAGCCTTAAATTTTTCAAGAAAAATTCCAAATTCAAAACCGCTTCGTGTGTAGAAGACCATAAAGAAGAGCTCTCAAGACGTTCAGTCACAAATTGATTTCTTTAATGTGCTTAGAACACTTTCTTTGCAACTATTAGAAAATGTTTCAATTTTGTTTAAGACAAAGCCCCGTTCATTAGACTCCATTGTCTTTGAATTCCATTCTATTAAGTAATAACTGTTCATTTGTGATATCTGAATCTGGTGCCAGAAATGACTGCAAGATCAAAGGTACATGATTTTGATGACTTCACAGAGAAAAAGGATGATTAAAATGCAAACCGGAGCCTTTGGTTTTAATCGCTTATTGAAGCATATTTATGCAGAAGTTTAATGATATAAAATCATTTCCAGGCATGTGAATAGCACATATACCTTAATTATTACTTTTTAAAGTCTGTCTTTGAAAGTAACTCTAAAGATAACAGACATTTTAAGACACAGGATTCAACAGAGCATGTATCATTCAATAATTCACATTTGAAAATGATAGCTCAGAATATATGTTACTTTTCACATTTTGGGATATACTGCCCTGACAAATGGTGAGAACTTTATCTCAAAATGAGAGAGGTGGCAAACATTTAGTGAACTGAAGATGTCTAATGAGAGTAATTCGGGTCCCCATTACTGAATTTTTAAAATATTATTTTGGCAGCTTAAGCAAAATCATGTTTATTTTCTGCTTGCATTTACTAATCACAGTTGTAACTCCCTACCCCTATTTTTTTTTTAACATTACAAACGAAAATACTGTTTGAATATTGCCAGAGGACTCACAGAGTCAGAGCATGAAGCATTCTTAATACGAATGGATATGTATGATAAATATATTAGAAACAGGGTTTACATAGAGCATTCCCTTGGGGGTTCTCAGGTCATTATACAAATTTAAACACATACGTGCAGGTGGCCCAAAGACGTCCGTTTCAGTATTCTTTTTCTCTAGCCCTAACATCGACCTCCTGTTACTGAATGATTGGCTGGCCCACATCATATACAACAGATTTGCAATAACTCTGTTTATCATAGTGATGATTATGCTATGAGTTATGTTCCCTTATTCTCTGTTTTTCTTCCACGATCTGGACGTGTCAATACTGCCAAGAGCAAAAGTTTCATATTTCTTTTCTTTCATATGTTTTTGATTCTTTATTGTTTTAGAGGGAAATTATAATGTTCAGGTAATATGTTAATACAGTCATTCTTTCTTAGGCTTTATCTCATGTGAACAGGGCAATAAAATATAATTTTTGGATAGACATAGTGATATAATGAAATACAAATGTTGATAAAATACAAGGAATATATAATATGTTCTATATAAAATATAAAAGAATATATCCGCAAATTTCTAGAGCCTTTCTGAACAACAGAAAATATTAGTGTATGCTGTAGAATAAATGTCTAAAGAGTGAATAAAGTATTTTATTCTTTCATTATAAGGCCGAATAGGAATTACTCTAACACCTAAGATAACAAAGTGAAGTAACTATGCTAGATACTCTCCATTTGCCCTTCCAGAGCCACTCTCAACCCTCTCTACTCTGCTCTGTGCTTGGGAGGCTGACCCTTCCAGACTGCATCAAACAGGCTCCCTTTGCCCTCTGGCTTCAGCTTGGCCAATGGAGGCACTAGCAGAAGTTCAAAGGATGGGAGGAGAGAGATACCAGAATATTATTTGACAGTAACAACCTAACCTTCCTGCGGGCCCAGGTTGGAAAAGGCTGGATTTCCCTAGTGAAGACCATCACTCTTTTTGAGTTGCTCTCTCCTACCTACAGGCATAGACCTTGATGTGTTCTGGTAATTTTTCCCTCCCCTTGCTCCTTCAGGCCTATGGTGGTAATAGCTTCTTGGTTTCAAACTCTGACATACTTCATTACTCATCTGGGCTTCCTTAACTCTGTCCATTTGTAAACAGACCTTGTAATAAACGCTCTTCAATTACTCTTTTGAATGTGCCATCTGTTTCCTGTAAGGACCTTGAGCCATACAGCAACTCTCTAGACCCAGAATAGTGGTACTCTACAGGGGTGGGATTATCTCCTTACAGGCTTACTATCTGTGACCCACACAATGAACTGAATGGATTCTCATGGAAGGGATGGGCGTCCATGCTGGAGTGAAGTCGATGCTCACTAACTGCCAGGGTGTGACTTCGGTCTGGAAAAAAATAAAGCCCAAAGATTCCCCTCTTCCATATTTACTCAGAGTTGGTTCTTTAAAAATATTTACAAATGTTTAATTTGTCTAAACATTTAACTATTTTTGGGTACCTAAAGATCCCTGTGAGAGAAAGAGCTCAATTTGGCCTTTGTCTTTGGTTCCTGAAAGATCCAAACCTACTATCATCAAGTCAATTCCAACTCATAGCGACCCTATAGCAAAAAGCAGAACTGCCCCATAGCGTTTCCAAGGCTGTAAATCTTTATGGAAGCAGGCTGTTACATCTTTTTCCCCTGGAGCAGCTGGTGGGTTTGAAATGCCAACCTTTTGGTTAGCAGTGGAGTTCTTAACCACTGCTCCACCAGGGCTCGTTTCCTGAAAGATAGCCCTTGGAATTTCCCAAGTAATCAAGGTGCCTTTGTATCTAAAACCATCAGGCAACACTTGCAAATTTGTGCAAATAAGTGGGGGTTACACAGACCATACCTGGTCAGCTAACCTCAGGAAGAAAGGCAGTGAGGCATGATTCAATTAATCATGCATAGACAGTGATTGATTAGATCATGACTATGCAACGAGGCTCCAATTATGACTATGAAATAAAGCCAATAAAAGGCTTTGAATACCGAAGTTCTTGGGCTTCCTGATTAGAGAAAGACATCCATGTACCGGAGAGAGAGGCCCATGCTGGGACCACTCCTGTACTTTATCCTCTCTGCCTCTTTGTTTGTTTACTTTCTGGTTATAATAAATCAGTAGCTGTAAGTCCACCCCAAAAAACCAAACTCATTGCCGTTGAGTAGATTCCAACCCACAGCGACCCTACAGGACAGAGAAGAACTGCCCCATAGGTTTTCCAAGGAGTAGCTGGTGGATTCGAACTGCCAACTTTTTGTTTAGCAGCTGAGTTCTTAACCACTGTGCCACAAGGGCTCTGCTGTAAGTACAGATACTCTTTTGAATTCTGCGAGTCACTCAGGGAATTAAGGAACCCAAAGGGGCAGTGAGAGCCAGGCAGGGCCTGATGTCCACCTATTTGGCAGTCTGAAGGACTGTGTCCTTTTAACTTGTGTCCGGTGACCTAACTTGGGGTGGCTAAGTTCAGAGAAAAGGCCAGCTGGTCTGAATCGGAGAGAATCACGTGGATTTCTGAGCTATCAGCCAATGCCTGCTGACCTGGCCTACGGTGGCCAGGGATGACAGAGAGAGGGCTGGCTGGTCTGAAGTGGAGAGAGTCATGTGGACCCCTAGACTTGTGGCTGTACCCTACTGACCTAGACCCTGGTAGCTGGGGATAAGAGAGGGCTGCTTCGAGCGGCTTATGAGGAGGATGGAGAAGTGGGAAGGTGAGGACTGGATCTATTTCCAGTTGGGAATTAGATTCATGCTGATCTTTACCATGCAGTTAGCAATGAAGGAGGGATTTGCCGACTGGGCTCCTTGCTTAGTGCAATCCCCTGTAAAACTACTTCTCCTCTGAATATTCTACAGAATATTGACCATATCTCATTAGGGAGCAAAACTCATCTTTTCCGTTGGGTAAATACGTGCACAACCAAAATAAAGAGAATTATTAATAATCATGCAATGATTTCTTAACCATTCTAACCAGTTTGGTGAAAGTCTCTACTTTTACTCCCTTCCTCCGACTGTCACCCCCCAAAATTACTTAGTTTCCAGTGTTCTGAACTGTAGATAATTTGGTGATGATTATTATAAAACTGACTTGCGACTGGCTACACAGCAGTCATATAATTCTGATATCAGAGTATACATCAAAAATTTAGAATTCATAAAATATGCTAATATTCTTTGCATTCTCTCTACCTCTTGCTTTATTTTCTTATCAATATCATAAACTAGCCATAATAATTTTGAAAGCAATAAGTTTAAAGAATGATCACACAGAGAAGATATCTTAGCAAATCAGAAAGAACATCACCTTTTATATCAGAAATCCCAGTCAAAGTCCAGGCTGTGCAATAAATTGTCAATTAACGAGGCAGGTCATCTAATTTCCTTTGATCTCAATTTCCTTAGGTGAGAAATGAAGTGGTTGCATCCATAAAGAGACCAAATGGCTCTAAACATTTCTGTGAATGCAAAGGGACTACCCTGTTATTGGTGGGGGCTGATGAGTCGATTCTGACTCACAGCAACCCCATGTGACATAGGAGAACTGCCTCTTACTGTTTTCTTGGCTGTAATCTTTAGGGAAGGAGATCACCAGGTCTTTCTCCCTCAGAGCCGCTGGTGGGTTTGAATTGCTGACTTTTCAGTTAGCAGCTGAGTGCTTAACCATTGCACCGCCAGGGCTCCTTAAAGGGACTATAATAACGTATAAATGTTAACAAGAAATTCGTGTTGCTCATTTTCTTCTTGCCTTTTCAAAATTAGGAACTGTGAAAGTATCTAAACTAATTTTGTTTCCTAAAAAACGGAAGCCAAGAACTAGTTAAAAATTCCACACTTGCAAAGGTCTCAGAGCCAGGCTCCAAATCTTTGGAACACTCAAGAGAGAAAGGAGAAGGAATATGGGGTGATTAAATAAAATGCTGTAGGCAGGGCTGGCTATATAATTTGCAAGGCCCAGTGCAAAATGAAAACGTGGGGCCCTGTGTTAAAAATTATTAAGAATTCCAAGATGGTGACAACAGAGCATTGAACCAAGTATGGGCCCACTGAGAGCAGGGCCCTGTGCAACTGCACAGGTCTTGTGCCCATGAAGCTGGCCCTGGCTTTAAAGAGATACAGGTACGATAGGTAAAAGGATGTTAATGTCTATCCCTGAACAAAGTAATCATGGTTACTGAAGTGAGTCATTACAGTTAGGAGTCATCGTGGTTAGAAAGGTATCTGAACTCTTATCCAAAACCCACGATTTTCCCAAACTTACCACGAGGAAAAGTCCAATAAAAAGTCAAATCAAATATTTTTAATAATATATTTTTAGTTAATGAGCTGTCTTTTATTTGATGTGAATGACTGAACTGAATCCCTTTCTTCACCACTAATGACACCCTTAACTTCTGAACAATCATTACCAGGCTGTAGACCACTGGCACAGAAAACAATCGCACAACTCTGACAACTACCAATTTCTGATACCCAAACGTCCTCAAGGCTGCCTACAACTCTCGGGCCTACACTCGCTCCTTCCCTCTCCATCTCCAGTTCTTCCCAACTTCCAAACCTTCATCCTTCTCAAGTCCTCTTTCAAGCACCCAATCCCCTCTCTCCTACAGAAGTAAAATTAAATATAAAAAGTAGAGACTACTAGTTGGCCCCCTGAGCCTGAGTGGTGCGAGCAATTTGCGACTGACTACTAACCGAAAGGTTGGTGTTCTAACCTACCCAGCTGCTCTGTGGAAGAAAGGCCTGGCAAACTGCTTCTGTAAAGATTACAGCCAAGAAAACCCTATGGAGCAGTTCTAGTCTGTAACATCTCGGGTCACCATGAGTTGGAATTAACTTGACTGCAATGGATTTGCTTTTTTTGTTTGTTTTAGGTGGTCCCCCCCACCCCACCCCCGGCTCAATTTCACTCTATCCACCTAGCTCCTTAATTGTGCTTGGGCCCATCTGCAGCTCCTTCCTGTTTACATCCCATCTCTCTCCTCATTCTTGGTCCTTGAGGTGCTTTCTCCATTTCATCCCCATTGCATCTATATTTTCAATGTTTTCCTTTCTTCAAGGCTTCCTTCTCTGTACAAATAATCTCAAGTGCTTTTCATTTTAACTCCTCCTTCTATTCTAGTTACAGCATTATTTCTCTCTCCTCACAGTCCTGTTATTTTGAAGAATATATACACTCTTCCTTTCCACTTCCTCTCTTCCTGCTCACTCTCAGTCTTGCATCTGCTGCTCCTTCCTTCAGCCTATTTCCTAATTCCTGGTTCCTCAAACGGAGCTGTTTTTTCTTGCTGTGAAGCCCAACGTGAACCATGCATGGCAAACCACGCATGAGGAAATGCTGGTTGACATGATTCCAAATCATCCATGAATTATTTCACGTAATTGAGGAATATGGGTATAAATTATATTATGCAAACAGGTGACTGCAATATTAAATTTTCTATTTTAAAAAGGAAACTCTCTAAACTGGATCTTTGCAACAGAAAAATAATCTTGCAATGTTTTTAAAGAGGTGGAGACACTCTCTTCCACACAAAGGGCAGAGTGTCCTTGCCCTGCTGTAAATGTTTTAGCAGCTGTGGAAACTTTCAACAAAATTTACTTCCAGCAACTGAAAGCAATGTGCAAAAACTGGGCTTTTCATCGTGGAGACTGAAGCACTTACTGATGAAATGAAGACTCTGAGGGCACGGCGAGGAGCTGTGTGGCTCCTTCTCCCAGCTCGGCCTGGGCACTCTAATGTGGTTTCATCTTCTACCACACAGCGCTGCACCTCTTAAGAAATCATGTTTCTTGAGTTTGAACTCTTTACATGACAGAGTAAAATACTGTGAGGGAATCCAGGTATGCATCACACCTCTTTTCTGGAAAGCATGGGGGTAATTATCTAATGTGCGAATATGGGCGCTCCTCCAGCAATCTGGGGGTGAAAGCTCCGCCCACATTTGGGGTTGATTCCATGCAAGAGTGATCAGCAGTATTGTATATATTTGCCCTTTTGCTAATGTGCAAGGGCGGGATTCCTCCTACCTGAGATACGTAAGGGCTTTCACCTTAAAATCCTACATTCACAGACCTCCATGTAGAGAATCTCCTAACTAGTGTATTACATAGCAAGAGAAACTCAGATTATCAGAACTAAAAATTAGCTCAGAGGAGCTGTTTTTTTTCCTTCTTTTGGGCAAGATAAAATCCCAATGGGTACTTTACCATTTAAGAATTCTGGGGATAACAAGTATGCATTGCTGCATATAATAGGAAATATTACATTTGATAAAGTGCTCATGGTGAATGTGCTGCATGTAGTACTCGGTTTGATGAAACCTTTAAGAATTCACAGCACTTAGCTTTCCCTCATGGTTTAAAATCAGGAAAGGTGTGGGTCAGAGTTGCATTGTTTCACCGTATTTATTCAATCTATACACTTACCAAATAATCTGAGAAGCTGGATTATATGACGAAGAATGGGGCATCAGGATTGGAGGAAGATTCATTAACAATCTGCAATATGCAGATGACACAATCTTGTTTGCTCAAAGTGAAGGGGACTTGAAGCACTTACTGATAAAGATCAAATTCTACAGCCTTCAGTACGGATTACACCTCAACATAAAGAAAACAAAAATCCTCACAACTGGACCAAAAAGCAACATCGTGATAAACAGGAAATATTGAAGTCATCAAGGATTTCATTTTACTTGGATCCACAATCTATGCCCATGGAAGCAGCAGTCAAGAAATCAAATGACATATTGCATTGGGCAAATGTGCTGCAAAAGACCTCTTTAAAGTGTTAAAAAGCACAGACATCGCTTTGGGGACTAAGGTGTGCCTGGCCTAAGCCATGGTATTTTCAACCGCCTCATACACATGCAAAAGCTGAACAATGAATAAGGAAGACCGAAGAAGAACTGATGCCTCTAAATTATAGTGTTGGCGAAGAATATTGAATATACCATGGACTGCCAGAAGAACAAATAAATTTGTCTTGGAAGAGGTATAGCCAGAATGCTGTTAGAAATGAGGATGGCAAGACTACGTCTCACATACTTTGGACATGTTGTCAGGAGGGACCAGTACCTGGAAAAGGACATCATGCTTGGTAAAGTAGAGGGTTAACGAAAAAGAGGAAGACCGCTGATGAGATGGACTGACACAGTGGCTTGCAACTATGGGCTGTAACACAGTAAAGGTCGTGAGGATGGTGCAGGACTGGGCAGTGTTTTTGTTCTGTCGTACATAGGGTCACTATGAGTTGGAACTGACTCAACAGCACCTAACAACAGCTTTTCCTCAAGATACAGTGTATTAATAATTCTGATTCAACAAAAGCTCTACTTCTGGCATGATTTCACGTAACAAAGGAGGCAGACGCATATTTATGAAGACAGAAAGCTGAATTACGCATATATTTTTTAAAAATAAGTTTTAAAGTTTCAGTTTAATTCAATACAGGTTGATTGTGTACCTACTAACTGTAAAACATTAATTTATCTTTTGAGTTCAGTCGTGGACTGAGTTAGAGCTTTCGTCCCCAAATAGCTGCACTTGTCATTGCAAAGCACATTTTCACTGCAGAGTCTTTCTCTCAGTCCTCAGGTTTAGGCTGTTTTGCTAACTTACAAAAAACACTCTTTTTTTTTTGGAAAGGAATTAATTACTTCCTAAGGAGCTTATGTACAATGAGGCTTCAGACACTAACATTGACTATTCAGAAAACAGTTTTACACTTTATGTCACAAAATTAACATCGTTTGATTGGTGACAGAATATAATGAAGGGTATGTAGTTTTTTCTCTGTATAGGTGGGCAAACAAAATAATACATGCAGAGTTATTTCTCTTAAATATCTGGCAAGGCATATGACCGACTGTTAGAAAATTTTTTTTTTTTTGACTTGGTTAAGACAAAATTTAGCCAAAAGTTAAAGCATGGAAAATGTTGCTTGTAGGCAAAGCAAATATTCTGATAAACCTTTAAAATCACCCCAACACACAAACATGTTGAAATCTTACCATTAGGTTTTCATGCAGTCTGTTTCCCTGCAGCGAGCATTAGCTTTAACCCTTCAGTGCTGTTGTGAAATTGCATGGACAGGGAGGGGGCTGAAGTTTCATTCAGAAACGAGCTTTTATTTAGGGGATGACTCTCAGCTTACATGAGAGAATTTCAGTTCTACTTCTGTGTCTGGTCTCAGGACTATATGTGTGTATATATGTATATATATATATATATATATATATATATTAAACAGTGACTCTTGGAACCTATTCGAAGGAGATTCTAGTGTTCAGATGGAGATTCTAGTACTGTCATTCATGTGGACTGTGCATTTAAACAATTGTGTAAATTCAGGGTGTGTCACATACTCTGTTCCTCTTTCTCCTGTGAATTTTCTACCTCAGAATGCACTTCATGATGGCGACTCTTTTAGACTACTTAATTTAAGCATCCCTAGGGATTGCTTTTTAAATGAACTGCCTGTAGGGTGAGATGGCTATTTTGTTTGACTTTCCAGTGCTTCTTAGAGAAAGCCATCACTGAAAGGGTTAAGGTATGTTACTGCAGCAGTTATCAGCAGACCAGCCATCTACCTTTGGTACTTACAGGAATTTTATGACTCTTGATCATATTATCAAATTCTTCATTAATTTTTTTGTATTTTTCTTCAGTGCGTGGGGTGAGTGCATAAGAGGAGTCAGGATCGGGGCTTTCACAGCCTTTGTTTTCTTTCTTGTTCAATGCCTGCCAGGTTCAGAGAAATACCAAGAGTAAAAAAAATGAAGGGTGTGCTGAGTACTTACACACAATCTTTGCCTGCTGATCATTAGATCAATATCTTCGTTAATTTTCCTGTACTTGTCCTCAGACTCAGGGCTGTGACCTACTGAATCGTCTGCATCAGGGTCTGGACTGTCACAGCCATTAAGGCCCTTCTTTCTCAACGTCTGAAATACATAATTTGGAAAGTTCAAACCTAGACAAAGGCTGTAAGAGACATTCAGGGGTGTTACAGAAGTTCAAGCTGTCCAGTACTTCAGGTTGTTATTACATATGCTATATTACATTAAAGAAAGCAAAGAGAGAAACTGAGTCATTTCAATAGCATCTCATTAAATAAATTAAATATTAAGGGAAATATTCTTTCTGCAACTAAATTAAGTCAATGAACAAAGAGGGTACGAGGGTGGCAGTTTCGTGATAGGGAGTTCATATGTGCTTCTGAGATCTGGTGAGAGACAACTGCCGCAGAGCACAATGAATGAGGCAAATTGCAACACTCTTATCTTTCCACAGAAAAATTAGAAGTCAGGACATTTCACAATGAATTCAGAACCTGTGATCATGACAAAAGCAGAAATGTTGAAAACACGTCCCTGATTTGAACTGAACACAATGGTTGGCACGAAGGTGTCCCGCGACCCCATTCTGATGTGCACTTGACAGCAAAAGGAGGTAAGAGGACCTAGCTAACATGCTCACCCAACGCCGATTAAGAATGTTCAGATACTACACTCATTGGGAGAATTACTGTTGTTTAGTCTGTCTAGAGTTTTACGTTTCGTGAAAATTCATACTGAAATTTATCATACTGAGAAGATATCTGCCTAAACATAGGCTGAAAGAAAAGTCAAAACAGCTGAGCTTAGGGCTTCATTATCATGAGCTTAGCAATGAAGCCAAAGAATACTGAAAATAGGTAACGAAGGCACCAACGACCCAACTAGCAAAAGTTCCTCCTGGTTTCAGCTGAGTAGGAATCACCTGGAAACTGTCTCCTGACACATGAAAGTGAACAGTCAGTACCTTATCTTGAACCTCCTGCCTCCTGAAGGTAGGTCTGGTCTAGTCTCAGCTGTCACAGAAGGATAAATACTAATGTAACGCCATAACAGCTAGAAAAAGTATGAGTCAGGAGTCCTAAGTTTTACTTTCTTTTTTTTTTTAAACTAATGGTTGTCAATTTAATTGTACACAATCTAATTTATGGAGATACTTTAAGTTTTATAGATCATAAAACTTCTTATTAATCACAAAGCTTGCCATGTTAATTATTAACAGACTAGCAACATTTCTGAATCTTCCCGGTACTACCCCAAATTGTTGTCTAAAGAGATGTGTAACAAAGTGCCTCTCATTAATGGCAAGTTCAGCAGAGCTCATCTTTATTAAAGACAGAATTCACATACAAATAAAGCAAAAGCTGCAACATCAAGCTAAGGAATTCAAAGCTGAGATAACACTCCATCTTTAATTCATGCAATTGGGGAAAATAAATAAAACAACATGAATTAAAAAGGGGGTGTCATTCTTAAAAATTTAAGCTCCTTGGTTCTTATCTTATCAATGTGTAACAAGTGTAACATCATTTAAAATTAGTTTCTGGGGCACTGATGATTTTCACTTAAAATCAAACTAAGAGAGCTACCATTTCTAATACATCTATGATGCACCGCAGCTCTGTAAATATTTATTAATGTTATAGTGGTATAATATAACAAATAAACATATGGTTACAGCTTATTATGTGGTAAAATGTTTGAATATTAAAATGAATATTTTGACACAAGATGATAAAATATACGTTTACAATCTTGGGGAATTTATAATTGGTGGGGCCACCTGGCTCCCTATCATGGATCTACAGGCATCATTTTCAATCAGACTAAGTATTTCTAGAGGATTCCTACAATAATACTATAAAAGATGTCACAATACATTATAATAATAATTTTACTGGCTTACTTAACTTCCTACGTTTTTAAATCTTTTGTTAGCATTATCTCAACCACAGGAGCATTCTTCTGGATGATAACTACTTGTATTATGATATGTTTTTGCTTTGATCTCTGCATGTCCTTGAGCTTTTAAGAATGATTTCTGAGTGTCTTGCATCATACACCACAATTGTTTTTCATAAGAATTATGTAGAGAATATGTAAGAACATGAAAATATTATCTGATATTTTTCAAAATGTATTTGTCTAAACTTCTATAAAGCATGTTAAAACAATCTTACATAAACTTTTAAAGTCTTATATAATATTAATTTATAGTCTTATCTAGGTAGATTTTTTTAATGTGTTCCCAAATTTTTTATGCAATAAATCTTATTGTAAAAATTATAGTTGTTTTGATGTGCAGATTTTTGACAACAGAATGAAAGGGTTAGGAGAGGCCTATCAACTGTCATTACAATCCATCTGGCACATGCATGTGTGCTAAATATTCTTACAAAGCTTTTGGGGGCAGATATTGTGTTTGGCTTATAAAAATTCAAACATCAATTACACTTTATTGAAAGATCTCTACAAATATTAACTCATTATCTCTCATAGATCTCCCATGAAGATTTTAGGGAAACCTTATGTCCAGTTTCAAACCAGTGTAGACAAGACTAGGGCCCAAGCATCAGGCAATGTGTCTTCTCCTCCTGCTACAAGAAAATGGGGTCTGCCTTTCTCTTGTCCAAGTTTTCACATCTGTGAAGTGTGTGTGTGTGTGTGTGTGTGTGTGTGTGTGTGTGTGTGTGTGTGTGGACTAGATCCCTTTCACTCATATTCAACCACAGTAGTAGACTGAGGAGTCCCTGGGTGGTTCAAACAGTTGACATACTTGGCTGCTAACTGAAAGGCTGGCGATTTGAGTACACCCAGAGGTGTCTCGGAAGAAAGGCCTGGTAATCTACTTCTGAAAAATCAGCCACTGAAAACCCTACGGAGCACAGTTCTACTCTGATACACATGAGGTCGTCATAAGTCAGAATCAACTCACCGACAAATGGTTTAATAAACTGAACCGTGAAATAAATTAGAAGTTTTTAAAAATTAGGCTTTGGGAAAATTTTAAGTATGAAAATATGACTAAAATATCAATACTTCTTAGATGTCAAATTTTATTCAGAGTGGAAATGCCTATTAGTCAGTGAAACACTTAGCAGTCTAGGGACTGAGAAATCAATTACATCAACAGCTCACTTTGTACCTGAAGAATTGTATCAACCATTAAGCAGACAAAAGAGGTGGTGTGAAGTCACAAAGGAAATGGCAAAGATCAGGGGGAAAAAACAACAACAGTGGCTCATTTTCTTCTAATAAACTCCTTCTGACTACTTTATTCTGTAAAGAATATCACCATTAAGTAACGAAATATCCCTGCCAGTTAAGATACACTCTTGTCTTACTTCAAGTTAAACTGTGTTATTTAAAGAACGAGCATTTCTAGATATACAAACACAAAACCCAAGAGCAAATTAATATTGGATTCCAAATTCCCATAATCACATAATCAGAACATTGAAAAAATGTTCAAAAATATTATCTTCAGCAGAGGGCTTGTATAACATGTTTCTGCCAAGAACAAATGATTATGGTAGAATTACAAAGCTCTGAAAATGGGAGTGATGGCACAAGCTTGAATACCACAGTGTGAATGTGGAACTATAAGAACAGTTCTATCTTCATTATATTAAAAATCTACAGCTGTTTAATGATGACAAAGGGATTACAGTTAGATCCAGCCAAGTCTGTCTCTATCACAGTAATGAACATTCGATATAAACTGAAGAGATTACTAAATGAATAAATAAGCATTATTCCTTCAGGCCTTTTTCTAGCAAAATCAAAATCCCTGCTGCTGGCCTTTGAAAGCTCTTCTAATCTTTTACAAGTTTTACTGGTCAGGTATTGTAGGCACTTAAATCATTATTCTTTTGCAGAGGCTACAGTCCTGGACATATATAAGTGTCTCTCAGATGACTATGTTTTGAAAAGATTTATTCTGTATGTTAAGATAAGGCAAGAGATCTACTGAAATCACCAGCTTCTCTTTCTGTATATCTAAAGAAACTCTTCACTCAGAGAACTCTGTAAATCTTGAGTAAACCTGTATACCGAAGTCACCTTTCTGGGTGAGAGTGACGCTTTTGGGGTAGATCAATGGACTGCAGAGGCTTCTGGGATGTTTTCACAAGGCAGCAATTGTCATACAGTGAGCTGAGAACAGCTGCTTCTTAGAGAAATAATTAGACTGACAGAATGTGACATATCCCATACAGTAAATGGGAAAAGGAGTCCAGACAGGTAACTTAAAAACCACGTGGAATTTCCCCTCCCAGACACGTGGACATATGGACCCTGTGTTATTACATTTGTTCATCAGAAAAACTTGAAATATGTACAAACTGATGATGATAGCTGACAGGTGCTTCAAAAATTCTAATGAAATAGATGTAGGGGAACAGATTCTGTTTCATTACTGGAAGGAATATAAATGAAAAAAAAAATGCCACATGGAGTTCTCATTCCTGGTCTTAAGCATTATGTTATCAACTAGAAAATCCTTTCCACATAAAACCAAACCAAACCCACTGCCATTGAGTTGAATTCCAACTAATTGTGATCCTATAGTACAGAGTAGAACTGCCTCATAGGGTTTCCAAGGCTGTAAATCTTTTTGGAAGCAGACTGTCACATCTTTCTCCCATTGAGCAGCTGGTGGGCTTGAACTGCCAACCTTTCGGTTAGCAGCTGAGAGCTTAGCCATTGCACCACGAGGGATCCTTCCACATACAGTAGTTAAAACTAGTTTCCCCTTCTTAATAATTTCCTTGCTCTTTTTCAATTACATGAAGCTATATATTTTATATGAATTCTACCTAAGTAAAGTTCAATTTCTTTCAGAGAACACCCATCACAAATTAAAAATTTCCAACCACTCAATTCCTTTCTATATCTGCAGCCTCAGTTCTCTAGAATGTATATTTTCATCATTTTTTTTGTGCCTACCCACTGTATAACAGAAATTTCAAATCCCTTTCTGAAAAACTCAGAAATACCCTTATTAATCTTGGTTGAAATCCAAAAAAATTCACCCTTTCTTGCATTGCTAGTGTTATCCTTACTTTGGACTGCTGATTTGTCAAGAAAACACATACTAGAATTATTAC